CCCCAAAACCCCAAAACCCCAAAACCCCTTTATAAAGAATTTTCTGCAGCATTTTGATTTTCATAAAACTTAATTTATAAATGATTATATCGATTGAAAAAATCTTATCGTGATCGCTTTATATTGAAATTAAGTTTAAATTTTCTTAAATCACTGTTTGTGATTTCCTCAATTCTGAGTAATATCAATTGGAGTCCAATCATCTAATTATAACTTAGAAATGTATTTCTCCTTTTTATCCCATTAAGGATCATTCATCAAGCATGGAGGGAGAGCAATCTTTTCTTAACTTTCAAGAAGAGATTCCCCACTGTCAACTGAAAGTACATTCACATCGACATAACCTCCAAGACTTTAATGCAAGCATCTTAATGCACAAAATCCATAGGGGTTGTGTTGTAGTTGAACTTAGGGATAATTAGCAGCAACATTTTAGTCTTAGCTTACTAATATTCCAATTGGAATTTCAACTACCTGTGCAAGCAAATTCTCTGTGGAGTATTCGAGCTTGTTTGAGTAGTCAACATTTGCATATGTACCTTTGTTGAATCTATATTCATAGAATCTTAGCTCCTTAGCAGGTTCTGAGCCTTTTTAATACAATACTCCATGAATTCTTTAGTCCTTAACAAAAATCTTGTAATTAATATTACTACCGCTGAAATCTATAAAGTCTTAGGTACTTTAATTTTCATTAAGGTAGTATGCCTCATAGGCAACCTATTCACTTGTATCGTCTATATGCATGTGGAAAATATTTAAGATATTGCTTGCTACCTCATTTGTATAAAATTGAAGGTATCTATCTTGAGCATTTCTGGCTTCCTCTTCAACTCTATAAGCTTCATTTTTGACTTCTCCATATTCTCCTCTAGAAACCCTATAGACGAAGTAATTGCTTTAGTCAATGTTGTATGTATATTAATCAATGGGAAGTTGTGGTTAAAGCTCAACTGGCTGGCACTCCTTTGATTAGTAGTATCCATAGTCTGTTATATTAACCTTATATCGTATTAGCAAAGTGTGAGCCTTGTTATTGATTAAATCATTTCTGAATTGTCTCTCATCCTCTTTTGATAAAACTTAAAAGCTCTCTAAGAAGTAACTTTCATTGGCATTTACTACGTTGAACTCACTGGCTTAATTATCATTTAGTAGAATTCCAGAGTTATCGTAAACTCTTCTCAATACAAGCTCATTAGTATCACCTCTGAATGAATTAATGTAATAATATTCGCTTTGATTAATACTTCTTGCTATTCTACTTCTTATCAAAAACTTAATAGCTTTTGCAATTTTCAGATTTTCTTCTTCAAAGTTGGAAGTTTGCTCAGAACTTGATTAGATAACTTCAGAATTAGTTGAGGCTTCTGCAAACTTTCTAATTTTTCTTAAATTCTCTAGTTTTGATAGCACATATCTATTTCTCCTTAAGAGAAGGCTTAGTATTTGAATTTTAGCACCATCATCATCATTTTATAAATTTTGTAAGACTTCATTGGTAACATGGGCAGTAGTCTCTTCCAATTCAGCATCTTTTAATTGAATTTATTTTAGATCTTCCTCACGTACAGGTTTTAGTTCAGGATGAACAAATAAGGGTAATTTTTGGAGTATTAAAGGATCAATTTTGGTTTCATTGACTTCATCACTCTCAGCTGACTTTACGATATACTTGAAGTTGACATACTGGTCATTCTGATCTTGCTCTCGATCTTGGTAGGAGTCTGTAGCAATTGAACCCCCAACATTGAAGTTAAATCTGTACTTGTAACCTGAGAGCACCTTAGTTTCATAATAGAAAATCTAATCAGCAACTCTTTCCATCATCGCTGGCTCCCATTTATTAAACTCACCCATTATGTAGACAGGAGTGTCAATACCTACAGGGTAGTCATAGTAAAATGCAAATGTAGCTGAAACCATTTTCTATTAAAATACTGAAGATATATCTTTGTTTTATTAAGATTAGTCCTCCATTTCTTGATCTTTCTAAAATAATGAATAAAATAAAGAATTCAAAATACCAATCTTTGTTCACCATCAGTCTGTTCTACAATTGAATCTTCATTCTTAACTTCCTCATTGCTCAAGACTACTTAAATATAAGTTTTAAAAAACATACCCTTAGTTTATTCCGCTCTTCTTTTGGCATAGACTAGTCTTTTTTCTAATTTTTCATTTTCCTGCCTGAGTAAATCCACTGAACTCTAAAGTGTTGAAACTTCTGAGGTAAGTGAGTCAACTTGAACCCTCTGAGTTTCTATTGTTTACAGCATCTAAGCTACATCTTAGTCACTCATACTTCTTGTTTAGATACTCCTCTAAAAACTGGAAATATTATTAATTATGGATATTACTCTGATCTCAGATAAATATCTTTT